AATGTTAAGGCAGGGTAGTTTTTGTAAAAGTCACTTCTAAGTTTTGCAAATCTATAATAGGTTTATTTTACATAATTAACATTATTAAATCGATTTAAATGGAGTGGAAGGTTCTAGTCATCAGACAGTTCAGCAATATATTTACAGTACTATTATTACATGAACATTTAAAAAGAGAAATACCTGGAATGTAAAATATTCTTAAGTTCTATTGTTCCATGAGTAATTTACATTGAATGTATGGTATATTCTTAAGTAGAGTTATAATTCAATAAAAAATTACAATCAATGATAATACAGCAGTAATTTTTCAGTCTACTAATAGAATATTTTCCATGTAACCGACAGAAAAACAGTAATAGCTTGGAGAAGCCTTGAATTAAGTTAATGTTATAATATTAATGAAAAACTAAGGAATTTTCAAATCGCAAAATTTATCAGATAAGTCCGTTTTATACACACTCTCATAATATCATTTTTTTAAATAGCAATTGTGAATAAATTTAAAGTTATTTTATTAGGCCTCCAAAAGTAATTATCAAAAGACGTATATTAGAACATCAATATGTAAAAATATTCTACGTTTAAGTTTACTTTTCCGGAAATAGATAACAGCAGTTTCTAAAACTGCTCTTTGCCAAATCTGTACATTATAATGAATCGTTAATTTCATAATCACCCGAAAATTATCATTACCTTCCTCTTAACGATATACAGAACTGTCTTTGATGAGCCAATAAAATTAATAGTTGATATACTGTAGCTTATTGAATTGGCCAAAACAATATGAATAAAGTAGATGTTCTATATGATCAGATTACAAGAAATTATCATAATCATCTTTGACGTTTTCCTCATCAGAGTCGTCATCGTCGTCGTTGTCAGAGATGTCATAATCTACAAATATATTACCATCATTGTCACTATCCAAATCAAAATAAGAATGTTGAAGAATAATGGCAGAAGCATCCACATTTATCTTAGAACTGGTAACCTTTAATTTGCAGTCAAGAGGTAAGTACCTTGCGACCTGCAAGGTAACGGTATCCAAACTTGTAATGTCATTGTCCAGTAGGACAAGACTTCTAAGACGAAGTTCCAAATTACATTTTCTTTTTAGCTCCATCAAAAATTTTTCCATTACTGCTTCTGTAATGTGACAACTTGATAACCTCAGTATCTGTAATTCTGGAAATATCTCCAGTACAGATGCCAAATGATCTCCTGACGCTGGTTCATTAAACTTTGAGGATGACATATCCAATGTCGTAAGTCCTGAAGCAAAAGTACATCTGTCATTTTTAATAGCAGTTACAAGTCTCCCGAGAACATCTGCATCAATATCACAATCCTTAAGTATTAGAGTTTTAAGTTGGGTCAGAGATAACACCAGGACTTTAAAGTTCACATTAGGCAGTTTTGAGTTACTAAGATCAAGATACCCAAGAGCACTTTTAATACCAGATGATAAAAGTTCTTCTCCAAGGCTATTAAGGAAACCTTCATTTGATGTCACCAATCGTAATTTTGTATCAATTGTTGCAGAACGGAGAACCTGAGCAACAAATATTTTCTTGTGATCTGCGTTTTTAAAATGGCAACGGGAGAGATCAATCCTGGAAAATTTACATATCCTTTCCAGTAAGCATCCAGGATTGTCATAAATTCGACACATTTCTAGGCGTAGTTCAGATAATTTCGGAAGCACTTTCACAGCTTTCAAAAACCGTGCCATCTCTCCTGATTTGAAATTATGACCAGACAAATCAAGGTGTCTTAAGCCAAGTTTATAGGTAACTGTTTCATCTTCATGATGTTCAATAAGTGTTGTAATAAAGGAATGCAGAGATGATTTCCCAGTCCTAAACATAGACATATCAAGGCTTTGAAGCTCTGGAAATTGGAAAAGCAGCCGACCGAACATGTTACCCACTTTATCAGCATCGACTCCTTCAAATTTGAGCTCTCCAAAACTTAATACCCGAAGGTGTTTATGAATACTATCTATTTGACAGTCTAGGTGAAGAACCATTTCCATAAAAACAGATGCAGACATCTTGTTTTCAATAGGTGTAACCTTGAACACCTGCAGATTCCTGAAACTGAGAAGTAACTTGGCAATCAATGTTCCAGAGTTTGAGAAATTCAAGTTGCAATCACCAAGACAAAATTCTGTCAATATTTCTCTGGACAGTATTTTTTCATTGAGAATTTCTTCAAAAAAAGGTTTTACATCTTGCAAACCAGATAGATCTAACTTTTGGAGATTTGGAAAACCCTTTAATACAGTTACTGCTTGAGTACCTTTCAGCAAAATTTTATTTTCAAATGTTAGTGACTTGACATTTCTACAGCTGATACTACTTTGATCACATGATCTTACCATTTTATCTACAACTCCAGGGCTATCAAAATAATCAACAATCCTAAAAACTAGAACATCAGAGTCGTTCGGAATGACTGTCGATAAGTCTGTCACTTTCTTTTTATCCACTTGGTTCAGTTTTACATTTGATAGGTAATGCTGCCTTACAACAGGGACACTTCCAGATACATTTTTCACATATGAAATCAGTTCCTCTCCAGACAGATAAAAAACTTTCAGTGAATTATTCTTAACCATGTGCAGCTCATGCAGATCAGCATAAGTTTTATTGTTAAATAAAACCATTTTGATTTCATTTACTTTTTCTAATCCAAATATAATATGAAGGGCATATGGATTAGCAAACATTAAACCAGGAAAGATAAAAAATTTATCTACATGTAATCTTTCCTTTCTCAACTGCTCAACAAGTTGTATAATACGACATGATGCTAGACCTCTTAAACCAAAACAGAATGATATCATAGTACAATTTGTCTTTCCTTGTAAACCATCTTTGATTCGAGTTACAGTATATTTAGATCCATTACCTTTATATTCACGTTTCGTTGGTAATGAAAACGAGATGGTTCCTTCCCGATCTGCATCCAGTTGGTTGAACCAGGGTTCTGGTAACTGACCAATTAATCGGGCAAGTAATTCAAAACTAAGTTCATCACAAGGTGTTTGAGATCCAGAGATCAACAATTTAAGAAAATCTAGTGGGGTCTCAGTTGTTGATAGGACTCCAAGATTAATAAAAGCATCCCGAAAGGGAGGTATTGTTAGAGTTTTAATAGAGCTGATATGTAAGAGGTATCCAGATATCTGTGTCATATGTTCTTTACATTTGTCCTTTCGAGGATTTATATCTTTACAAGTAAACTCAAGGTGTTTTACCACCCACTTCTTTTCTGATGGAATTTGATCTTTGTTCAGAGCTTCACAAGGTAATGAAAGTGATTCAAGTCTTTTGTGTTTAACCATTAACTGTGAAATAAACTTAAGTTCTTCAAAGTTTCGTTCTTTCCGTGGAAGAAAATCTTGATACCAAGAGAGATGCAGACTCTCTGATACATCTGTATCTAGATAATATGAGAGAATTTGGACTGGCATTGACATTAGCTGACAACGCTTAAGTTGTAGTTTATAATCAACCCGATGAGCTGCAATATGTAAAGATAAAGTCGTTGATGTAGATCTAGAATTTATTCCAATTCCAATTCTTTTTCTAAACAAAATTGAAACACAATTTTTGTTATCATTTGTTGGCAATGTTATAGATGCATGGGATTCAAGATCTCGAGTGTTGTGTGTGGTGACCTCTGGCTTCTGTCTGTCTCTGAATGCTTCCACTTTTGTAAGGATCATAAAGAGATGAAATTCAAATTCATCATTTGTCTCATGAGTATTTACCGTGTTTAGAGAAGGACACAATGCCATTATTCTACTGACCAAATAAGCATAACCACTATTCCGTTGTCCTTTACTGAATGTCCTTTTTAGTACAAATGTTAGGGTTGTCATTTTGTTGAAATAACTTTGAGGCCTACAAGAAGGATCATCACCTGAACAACGATGACCATACATCGCAGACACAAACGTATATAAGCCTGGTCCATATGATATTACTGGCAAATCCAATGTCTCCATAGCTTTTAAATTGTAAAGAAAACTCCCTAGATTCCTGCAAGAATTTGTCTTGGTTAGTTTTCCCTGGAGAGATATCTTTGATAGACTTTCAAGAGTACTAGATCCAAAAATGGGGAAATTTTCTAAAGTCTCATCAATTATACCATGCCATGTCAAGGATGATAAGGCAGTCATCGAATAGAGAGCTTTAGGTATATCAGATCCACAAATATTTGCAGAAGTAGTGTCTAAGGTACATGTGACTGCTTCCTTAAAGTTGTTCAATTCCTCCACAATTTTCAAACCAGTCTGAGACTTAATGGTAACATGCTTCACTTCATTCATACGTTCTTTTATTGAATCCTTAACAATTTCAACTTCACCCTTTGGACATTCATCTAGTAGATCTGCTAGAGCACTACTCTTGAAGTCTTCAAGAGGAAAGTAGTCCATAAACAAATGAGCTTCATCACCAAGAAGAGCTACAGTGAACTTACAAACTTGGGATAATTCTGAAGTACTCAACATTCTCTTTACTGTCTGATCTATGTCACTTTTGGACTTTTTCTTCATAGTTTCAGCAACATACAGACTTGCTAAAAATTCAGATTCAGACTTATGAGTTGTAGTGTAGCTTTTCATGTGATGGAGTTCAGAAACATTTGTTTCTTCAAAAATCAACCCTAGTTTAGATGCAACTGATGTTTGTTTCTCATCAGTTAATTCGTTTTGCTTGATGTTCAATCGGTTCTCAAATAAACCATTTAAGGTAACTCTTCCAACATACAACATTGCATCAAAATGTTCAAGATTAATTTCAGAAAAATTATCAATTTTTCTTTTTTCTTGTTTGCCAAGGAATTGATTTACCTTGCAAACCAACAATTCTCGATAAAGTTCTATTACAGTGGAGGGCACCTGGCCTTTGACCTTCCACAATGTACAAAGATAGAAGAGAAATAGTGGTGTTCTGGCCATCTCAAAGATATGTCTGTACTGATTGTCATTTCTTAATTTGATCAGATTTTGTCCTTGGTCCGGGTCAACTTCCTTAAAGAATTTGTCTATGTACTCATCTTGTCGTTCAGGTTTGAATCCTCTAATTTTGATGTGTGATTCACAGACTTTAACTAATTCATCCATATTATCAGGCCTTGTTGTTACAACTAGGACACTTTCACTTAACTCCTTTCTTTTAAATACTCCTTCAAACTCTGATCTCACACCTGAAAATAGCTCATCATATCCATCACATAAGAACACAAACTTTTCATCATTTTGTATGATCACTCGCTGCAATACATTCTTTGACATTAACTTTTCAAGATTAGACAGGCCAATCTCTATAGCATTTTCAAGAAAACTTTTCTTTTGCATGTTCTTTAATTCCAGGAAAAAGACGATTTTTTCACCAAAGACACCTTTGTTGGGATCATCAGCCCAAGAACGAGCAAGTCTTTTCATCAAAGTTGTCTTCCCATTTCCAAGCTCCCCTTGGATCAGAATCCTCTTAGGATCATTAGTACCATCTTTTTTTTTCTTATAGGGTGTTGCAATGTCATCAATTTTAATCTCTTTTGCTTTCTTCTCATTACCTGAATTTGGGTTCTGAAACATTATCATATCAGTGAAGAGATCTTGTATATCTATTTTGTGTTTTGACCACTGAGATGGAGTGAACTCGGTAAAAGTCGCCCGTTTATACTGATTCTTTAACTGAAGCTGTAAATCATTCAACAATGAAGGCCCTGAAAAAGAAATATACATTCACATAATGGAGACATAAAATTTATTAAATATATATTATATTATAATACAGCCAGTTTAAAGTTTATCTCTATGTACCAAGATTTATTTATAAAATATTTTAAAGAAAATCCTGTCTTATAATGCTCATAGGAACAGGGTATACCATATTGATCTCAGTGTTATTTGCCATACAATAAGAAGTAGTGCTGTTCAACTGTGCACGTGCAAATAAGGTTGAGAATGAATTAGTTGGATTTGAATAGACAGATTCGGTGATGTTTGTTTACAGCCAGTCACATGACATAACTTGGGTATACCATGGATAACATTACTGTATGATTAGTGTGAAAGTAGAGGAAAAGATAATTTTATGGTTGTGAAACAACCACCCACTGTTAATGCGAGAAATATATGGCAAGGAAAGGCAATACGATTGTTCAAAATTGTTTATTTACATTCTCCTAGCATTGTATACTGTGAAATTAGGAAACCTTAGCTAGCCTTAAAATCGTAGCTTTAGTTCGCAGGTCGAAAACTCTTATGCATACCTAAACAGGGGATAGATTATGCAGGGGCCTAGGCTTAACATTTCTCAAAAAATCTCAGTGTTTGTGGCCAGTATGTCTTTAGCAAACCATTAAGGCAAAATTCTCAAGTTTAATTTCCAATAAATTTAGTATAGTTTATTGGGAATTATGATAATACATCAATAACAAGGGAAGGCCGCAATAGCAATCTCCATGTAAAACACTGCGGTTGTTTACATCCAAAACACAAACAAAATAGCGTCTCTGGCAAGATTTGAACCTGCAGCTTGTCGCTGAAAATGCTGACAAGTATCATACCATAAAGGCTAACTCAGACAGTGTCGTATGACACAGCCTGACGCCATTCATCGTCAGGGAGAGTCTTGAGCAGTCGTGAGAAATACTAAACATGTTTAAAATTCTACGACGCGACTGCCCCCACGCGAACCATCGCGTCTGTGTTTAACTCACACAGACCCAACGCGACAACAAATCGTGTCGAGCTGCATCGTACGACGCTGTCTGAGCTGGCCTTTGGACACAAAAACTCACAAAAAGTTTAGTGGTGGTGTCGGTCTAATAATGGTCAATGAATGTACAACCACTTTGTTTATCGGTGTTAAGGTGCTTTAAATAAACTATTCATCTTCCAATACCTTTTTCTTTAGCCTGATTGTTCAGCTGTTCTTCCCTTTGTTCTTCTGTAAATATGAGAATATGAGGATCTTTGAACATGTATATCTTGAAATAAACATAAATAAACACTTTTTACATGAACTCTTGGCTCAATTTTAAATAATAGAAACTACCTCAAAATCAGTAAAATGAAAGTTAAATTTGGCAGCAGCAAGGAAAGTTTTTTTTCCTTTTTTTTTTTTTATACAGTTCTTTTTATCACGTCCACACATTTGCTAATACTTCGTTTCAGCCAGAGCTGGACACAGTTTCTAGCACAATCACTGTACTCTGCCAGGTCCATCAGATGGCATGCATGATGATATACAAGTAGATGTTGACTTGACCTTACATGTGGTTGTGGTAGAATTAGCATTATCAGGGCTACGATGAGGACGCTTTTACCATGAACCCTTTTATTGATATGAGACTAGCTACAATTACATTTACATATGGAAATTTTCCAGATAGAACAGGTTGAATACAGTAATATTATTGAAATGACTAAGAATTAAAAATCAGTCTCCATTACCCTTGTAACGGGTGTAAGAAATGTGAAAAAGACAAGCAAGACTAGTCACTCGCCGTAAAAATCGATTTTTTAGTTATTAATACAGCGTTCAATAGTAAAATGAGAGCTATAAAAATCATTTAAATACGACATTTCCTTAAAAAGTTACAGGTGTCTAAACACCCAACTGTTTTATAAGAGAACAATATTTGAGAAATCAGCCTTCAAAGTTCATGATTTTGGGTGTTTCTTAAGCATAAACCATCATCAAGTCATTGAAAATTGTTGTTTTAAAATTGAAAATGGGAGAAATAACAGCGCAGCATGATGTATAGGTATATAAAGGTTAGTTTAGTGCAATAAAATAGATTTCAAAAAAATTTGACATTCCAGCATGTTTTGGCCAATATCTCTCAAACAGGATTTGTGATGAGTGACTGGTTTGGCTCGTCTATGCCACAAATAATGCCAGTAGGAAAAAATACCATTAACAAAGGAATAATCCATTTCATAACAGGGGTGTTGGTGAAGACATAGACAGGGGCTCCTGTATCACACACCCAGTTAATCCTACTCATATAGTAATTATTTATTTATTATTTATTTATTTATTTCGGTATAAAAACAGTCTCACATCAACCCCAAAGGGCAAACCTGTGAGCTTACAATCATATGTCAATAATGAACATAAAAAAGACAGATAAAAAGAAAATTAAAATTAAAATAAGCAAAAGGACAAAAAACAAGATAGCAATACAATCAAGTCTTTACATAATCACAAGTCCACAATGTAAAAAGAAAAGTCTAGCAATGAAATTCTAGCAATCATTATAAAAATATGAACGAAAAAAACAAAAAACAAGAATGAGATTGTGACATAATAATTAGTAGTGTTCATAGTATAATTAGGAAAATATCAGTTATTTATTATTAGGCCTAATTTATTAGGTTGTATTTATTTTAGCATCATCATTTCTGTTTGTTGTATTCACTATAGTACATTTACTTGAATAACCATAAATCAGTTAATTAGGCCTACAACAGGGTTTGCAAGTTGGAAGAAGTCACTTCCAGAATATTTGATTAAATGAGATTTCTTAACACATATAACTTTAAGTTGCTGTGCTTGGTGATATCCATCAGCACTGTTTTCCGTGAGACAATAGATAACATAGGAGTGAAAACATGTATACAGGTTTCCCCTAATAATTTCCATAACATAAACTAACATACAAATTAGTGTGCTTGAAAAATGTTTACTCATGATTCTTTTTCATTCGTATAGCCTGCTAGGGTCTTGTATTTATGTATATACAGTATTTCTATGGATATGAATACCGAAATAAAGAGTGAAATGAAAATGAATGAATAGTAGTATGTATCGGGTTGAGGTTATTTTATGTATGTTTCATCGTACAATAATAATTATTCTATAAAGTGAGATTTAAATATTGATAAAGAATTATGATTGTATGCTTGTTTTAATTGTGTTTTTTCAAACTTCAGCCAACGAATCCATCTACTCTTTGTGGGAGCGCTTATGAGGCGACGCTAACTGTTGATTGTCGAAGGCAGTCTGAGATTTCATCAATGAAAACAACTCAATTTGCACATTTTGTCATGTTGTGGTCTATGAAAGCATGCCAGCCAATATGCTTAATGACTTTAACCTCTATATTTGGTTTCAATAACTTATTTACACATTGTATAGAAAATAAACCCTGCCTACCTGTAGGTTGTTGAACTGTTGCTTGAACAAAAGTTTTGGCAATTGGATTAATGGCAACATTTCCAACATGTGATTGGCCAGACACAAAAACTCCTTGGTTCATTGATCCTACAATGCTGTCGATCTTGCTATGTCTTTCGATAGAAATATCTGACAACAAATTATAAAGATGTTAAGAATAAGAAATACCACTTTTCCCGAAAAAAACTATAGCTGCTGCTTTTATTACTGTGCAAATATATACTACTTATAGCAAAAACAAAGACAATGTTTTCTAAGCATTTTGCAAACTGACAAGATCATAACTATTTTCCTCATCAACAGTTCTTTCCATGAGGTAAGATGTGGCACAGCAGTAAGCTCTGGGTTTTGATCAAATGATCAGGTTAACATTCTCCCTTTGTGTAAATTGGTTAAAAACTGCAACATTATACCTTCTATAATAGCTGTTTTGTCCAACAACAAGAATACAATACAAAGTGCATAGAGCAAACATACTGTAGGTAAATCGCAGCCTGCAGATCACGATTATTATTAATAATAATAACAATAATAAAATAATCATATATCATATTATATAGCACACAATCCTGGAGCTTCTATTAACATAAAAAGGAGAAAAAAATGAGAAACTACAAAAAAAAAAATAGTTTAAAAGTTTACCCATTTAAACAAACTCCGTTAGCATATTGAGATACAAAAACAGATAACGATACAATAAACAATCTAAAACTAACCAAGACCACCATGAACAGTGAAAACCAACACCACCCCACTTCCACCAGCAATTTAAGTTGCAAGACCGGCCAGTACATTATTAAAAAAGTGCCATAATGGTGTGGTTATCTAGAAATTTTCAGCAGGATTGTTTTAAAAGTCTATGATAAAGTATGTCAAACTTAGCTAGAGCCCAGATAATCAATCTTGGGTGCTTGTGGATAGATGGTGGGTAACAAACTTGAAGATGTAAGTGGGGTTGCCCCTTACAAAGATGTGGATTGTCTTTTAAGCATAGTAGGCAAAATAGGACCGGACAAAGTTTTTTCGCACTAAATGAATTATATTTTTAGCTCTATTATTATGCTCACCACATTTAAACCATCCTTGAGCTGTCTGCCTGTAAAATTTAAAGCACATAGTATAAGGGTTTGATTTTTGGTCTTTAGTTTATTGGAAAACTATTCTTTAAATGATTATTACATTAATTTGTCCGACATATATATTTATTTTTTATTCTTCTTATTGTGGGCCAGAGTAGATTGCTCTGCAGGCAACATTTTTTTACACAAATTACTTCATTAAGACCTATGTTTGAGAAGGTGTTTGAGGTGTATGATCCTATGTGTTCAAGTTTTTGTTTCTTTTCCAGTATCTTACCATGCACTATGGGTTTAGAATCTGCATCTTTCTTGGTAAAATCTGCTATTTGCATTACTGATGGACCTTTTTCAGGCAACAAATATAAATAACAAATGAAAAATAATTCCATTAAATTATACTAAATGTATATTTTTATCATCTTAAATAAAGATACAAAGTAACATTTTCAAAATTTAACAATATATTTTTTTCCCTTTACATGGAAAAATAATCAATCTATATAATCCATGATGGATTACATTTCAACAAGCACAACATGATAAATTTTATAAGTTTAAATCCAGGTTCCGAAGGCACATACGTATTAATTATGTTGTACAACTGATTTTGCTAAGGCACTGAAAGGATATTTTTTTTTAAATGGGTAAGATACAGAATTTTCAATATAACTTAAAAACTTGGGAATACAGTAAGATGTAAATGGCCGTATCCGACTGGTCGATTTCGTTGAGTACGAATTTTCGTTGAGTATTATTTTCATTCGACTGGTTCGTAAAATAGACTTCGTTGACAACGGAAATTAACGTAACCAGAATACGTTAATCAGCGTTATCCACGTGACCAAAAAAATATGGCCGATTGGTCAGTTTAGCAACAGCATTTGTGTTAATATATATATTTGATTAAATTTCAGAAAATAAAAATTATAATATTGACCCACATTGAAGCCAAAAAATAATTTTGTAGGCTAACAGAATTCAAAAACTGGATGAAAACATTTTTTTACGAAAAACCCATACTGCCACAATCCGAAGCAGCCTTGATTACACAGCGTGTATCGCGGTAACTATGCATCCATTTTGTTTTGTCGAGTATTTACCAGCTTTCTATGATTTTTAAGTTCTTCAAGATTCAAGGCTTTCCCCTCTTGAAAACGGTCAGGTAAATTCTTCTCATTCTTATTACAGTACATAGGCCTTGTGTATACATACATTTAAAAAAAATTGAGTAATTGCATACGTATTCTGTTTACATGAATTGATAAATCCCAAAAAGAAAGGGGGTTTGGTGGAAATTTTGATTCCTAGATGGCAGGAACTGAGCTTTCCCGACTTCTAATTATCTTATTGTAACAAAAAAAACAAAAAAACAAAAAAAAAAATTCAGCACATGGGTCCTGAAAAATTAGGTCTAGAACATGTTTTTCTTTCTTTTTTTTGGCACAAGGGAGAGGGGTCAAGACCCCCTGACCCCCTGACCCCCAAATCCGCCAATGTGAATTGCGAGAAAATGTAACTCTGTCAGGGACTGGATAAACACTCTCTTCCCTCCCTCTCCTCCTTCTTCCCTCTTAGATTTTCTTGCATTTCTTTCCGATCATACACAAATCTGCATAGACATATATTTTCTGCCAAAAAGTAGGGGAGGGGTCGAAGGTCGAAGGTGTCTAGGTGTCTAATGACTTTGTTCTTCAAAATTCAAGGTTCCACCCCCCTCCCCATTGAAAACGGTCAGATAAACTTTCTCATTCTTATTACAGTAAATTGACCGGTTATGTGTGTATACATACATTAAAAAAAATGAGTAGTTGCATACGTATTCTTTTTTCAATGAATTGATAAGCTCCAAAGAAAAGGCAGGGTCCGGTTCTCCCCCGGGAAAATTTTGATTCCTAGAAGGCGGGAAATGAGCTTTTCCGACTTCTGAGGTGTATTTTAATTACTTTTAAGTTCTTCAAAATTCAAGGTTTTCCCCTCTTAAAAATTATAATAATGAATGACTGAACCCAAATTAAAAAAAAAATTAAAAAAAAATACATACATAAATACGTAAATGAGTAGTTGCATGCATATTCTTTTTTCCATGAATCGATAAATCCGAAAAAGAAAGGGTGGTCTTTTAATGACTTTTATGTTCTTCAAAATTCTAATTTTCTTGTAACATAAAAAAAAAAAAAATACAGCTCACGGGTCCTGAAAAGGTAGGTCTACAATTTTTTTTATATTTTTGTTGCCCAAAGGAGGGATCAGGACCCATGACCCCCTTCCCAAGGTCCGCCTATATGAGTTGCGAGAAAATGTAACTCGGTCGGGGACCGGATAAACATTATCTTTTCCATCCTTCTCCTCCTTCCTTCTTTCTTTTCTTGCATTTCTTTCCGATCATACAAAATCTCCAGACATAATATATGTTTTGCCAAAAAGTGTGCCCCCCCCCCCCGGTTCCGCCGGCCATGCAAATTTTGCCACAACAAAAATAAATATAACCATTATACTGATTTCCCGGTGCATAGGCTTACTCGCCGAGTATTTGCCTGTCAGAGTAGTGCGCCGCAGCGTTTCAGTCAAGTTCAATGGTTAACAACATGGCCGGCGGAAGCGGCGAAAAATATATAATGTCTGGAGATTTTTGTATGATCGGAAATGCAATAAAAAAGGAGGGAAGAAGGAGGAGAAGAATGAGAAAGACAATGTTTATCCAGTACCCGACCGAGTTACATTTTCTCGCAATTCACATTGGCGGATCTGGGGGAGGGAGTCGGGTCCTGAACCCTCCCTTGGGCAACAAAAAAAGGGGGAAAAGAAAGGAATTCTAGACCTACCTTTTCAGGACCCGTGAGCTGATTTTTTTTTTTGTTGCTATTAGAAAATTAGAATTTTGAAGAACATAAAATTCATTAAAACACACTTCAAATGTCGGGAAAGCTCAATTCTCGCCATCTAGGAATCAAAATTTTCCCGGGGAGAACCCCCGGACCACCCTTTCTTTTTGGGATTTATCGATTCAAGGAAAAAAGAATACGCATGCAACTACTCATTTGTTTATGTATGTATACACACATAAAATAAAAAATGAGAAAAATTTACCTGACCTTTTTAAGAGGGGAAAACTTTGAATTTTGAAGAACTTTAAAAGTCATTAAAAGACATTTCAGAAGTCAGTTAAGCTCATCTCCCGCCATCTAGAAATCGGAATTTTTCCGGGGGAACCCGGACCCCTTTTATCTTTGGAGTTCATTGATTAATTGAATCATTTTCAAGGGGGGGGGGGGACCTTGAATTTTGAAGAATTTAAAAGTCATTAAAAGACACCATAGAAGTCGGGAAAGCTCATTTCCCGCCACCTAGGAATCAAAAATTTCCCGGGGAAGAACAGCAGGACCTACCTCCCCCCTTTCTTTTTGGGATTTATCGATTCATGGAAAAACTACGTATGCAACTTACTCAATCTTTTTTTATGTATGTATACAAACATAAGGCCTATTTACTGTAATAACAATGGGAAAAAATTATTTGACCGTTTTTTAGAGTGGAAAACCTTGAATTTTGAAGAACTTAATTACTTTTAAGTTCTTCAAAATTCAAGGTGTTCCCCTCTTGAAAATTATTATAATGAATCAATGAACCCAGAGAAAGGGAGGTTCGAGTTCTTCCCGGGAAAATGTTGATTTCTAAATGGTGGACAATGAGATTTCCCGACTTCTGAAGTATTTTTTAATGACTTTAATTTAAAAGACACCTCAGAAGTCGGGAAATCTCATTTCCCGCCTTCTAGGAATCAAATTTTTCCTGGGGAAGAACCCCCGGACCCCCTTTCTTTTTGGGATTCATCGATTCATGGAAAATTCGTATGCAACTACTTATTTTGTAAAAATTGTTATGTATGTATACACACATAAGCCCTATTTACTGTAATAACAGCCGGCCCTGTAGATTATTCTTTCTTTTTTATTGATTTTAAGAAATAAGAAGTACTGTACGGTATGTCTTATAGCACTTTGGAAGTTGTATCATACTGTACTCACTCAAGACAATCAGTAACATAAA